ATAAATAAATATTCCTTCTTTCATTGCTTTTTGCTGAGACACAACATCCCACGTTACTGGGAATGAAAGAGAAAGCAGTCCCATCAGAAGGAGGGGACAGCAAGAGGATGGAGGTTGATGCTGGCTGTGGGATTCTGTAGATCACAAAAGTAACTTTTCCAAAGTCTGGGAGAGAATACAAGTCCATAGGGAAGGTCCCTGCCAGTGCAGCCCTTCACTCCTGCCACCTCAAGCTGGAAGACTACAAGGTTTTGTTCGAACTCCTGGACTCCGTTGGGAGACCCAACAGCCTGACTCTTTAGGAGTCAACTTTGCCTCTTCTCGTCAAGAAGGCTGGAGGACCAGCAAACCAACCATCCTTCTTTGAGTGATTCAATGTTGGGACTTTTGAGCAAGGTTCTAACCGAGCCCTATCCAGCTCCTTGGCCAACATGCCTGCACACAGATTCAGCTAGAAGAGGAACCACCTCTGAAGGGCGAGACCCAACAGACTTCCTCGTGAGTTGGTGGCTCTTCCTTTCCCGAAGCCCTGTGTGCAGGTGCAGAACAGCCTCCCCGGCAGGGACGCGGCGGCCATAGACCCTGCGCTGAGCCCCTTCTTCCAAGCCCCCCCCCTGCAATGCCCCGGTTTCACCAAAACCAGCCGTCCGGCCACTTACCACTTTGGGGAGAACGGAAGCGATGGCATCTTTGGTGACTTCCCGGAGGCTGGAGACGTCGATGACAGAGCCCAGACTCAGCAAGGCGTCCGAGGCTGGAGACGTCGATGACAGAGCCCAGGCTCAACAAGGCGTCCTGGGGAAGAAGAAGAAAGAGGAGGAGGAGGAAGAGGGAGAGAAAACGTTGTTAGCCGAAGGGCAGTCCTCTTGATTCAGGAAGCTCCCCTCCCTCCCTTCCCGCAATCTGGAACCCCGGGGGTGGTGGGGTGGGACTGGGGTCTTCTGCAAGCAGGCATCCAAGGAAAGGGACAGAAAGAGAAATCTCCAAGAGCTGATTTTTCACAGAGCTTCCAGATCGCATGACAGCCAAACCATCCATGGACCACGCTCGTTGCATCTACCTGACCCCACCCCAACGTTTCGGATTCCTGATTTGTGGAAGATTTTGACAGAATAGAATGCAATGATATTTGAAGGCTTCTGCGCCTTTAAAGCAGACACGCTTGGAGGGTGGGAGCTTTATGGGGTTAAATAAAGACTAAGAGCTCCGGAGAAGTCCCCCCATTCTCCCCTAATAATTTGTTCAGGTCTTCAGGTGGCGCCCCAGACTTTGCACAGATAGAGAGATGGTAGAGTGCAGTGGTTAGAGCTAGGGTTCCCAACTTTGAGACCCCCTGATCTTAGACTGCAGCTCCCAGAAGCCTTCGCCCACAGCTGTGCTGGCTAGGATTTCTGGGAGTTGTAGTCCAAGAACATCTGGGGAACCAAGGTTAGGAACCAGTGGGTTAAAGCGCTGGATTGGGACTACGGAGATCCGGATCCTAGACCTCCCTTGGCCATGAGAGTCAAGGGTTGGCTTGGGACTAGTCCTTTCTTGTCGGCTTGATCTACCTCACAGGGATGCTGTGAGGACAAAATGCAGAAGAGGGGAGCCACACACACTGCCTTGAATTCATTATAGAGAAGGTGAGATATACAGTAGTATACCTCGGTTTACAAAGGCCTCGGTTAATGTAATTTTCGGTTTATGAACAGAAATCCATTGAAAATAATGTCTCGTTTACGATTTTTTTTTCATAGTACGAAGCAAGATTCCCGGGGATGCATTGCGCCCAGAGGTTTATAGCACCACCCCCGTTCCTATGGCAAACTGTGTTTCGGTTTACAAATTTTTCGCATTACGTAACGCCCCAGAGAACCCATTAAATTCGTAAATGGAAGTACCCCTGTGAATGGAACAAAGGACTATCGTTTTGACTCCAATAATTGTCAATCCCAATCACCCTGAGCCATGGGAAATGTAGTCCACCAACATGGAGGCAATAACATTTCCAGCCCCTGCCCCTGCTTTGAATAAGCCTATCAGAAAGGAGTGGCCACTGGCAAACCCCCCTTCGTTCGCTCCCTTCACAGCATTGAATTTCCAAATGTATTTGAAGTGTCCTCCTGCTGCCTCCCAAGCCATGCAGTGGACGAACTGGAATTCTAGCAGCCTTTCATTTCTCTCTGGCCTTTCTTGTAAGGCAGGGGACCCCAGGGGGTTTACAGGATTACTTAAAAAAAACTAGAGCAGTTTCTAAAACCGAAAACAGTCAGTTATATTAAAATACTGTTAAACACCAATACTGTTAAACTGTTCTAAGGCACAGGCCTTAGAAAAATTCAAAACATTAAAAAAATACATCACACACACTGAAAGGTTTCGTTCTCTAAAGCTCATTCAATTTCCTTAAAATCTCTCTCTCTCTCTCTCTCTCTCTCTCTCTCTCTCTCTCTCTCGGCTAATCCAGTGGGTCCAAAACTGGGGATCCCCAGATGTTCTTGGACTGCAACTCCCAGAAGCTTTCTGCACTAGAAACGCTGGCCAGGATTTCTGGGAGTTGTAGTCCAACAACGTCCAGGGATCCAAGGTTGGGAACCACTGTTCTAGTGGAAAGGAGTTCCACAGCCTGACAGCAGCCACTGAAAAGGCTTTCCTCCTGTGAGTTTTCTCATGAGGATGGTGGCACCAAGAGACACACCTTCCTACGATGCAGCTGGGACTGCATGGAGAAGAGAGCCACTGTAAAAGAGACAGAAAACTTTGCAAACGTAGAGCCCCCTTCCTAAAAAGACGGAAGACCTTCCTCCTTCCCAGAAGGGCCAAAACGCGAATCCAGGGTTGCCACAAAATCTGCAGGACCTTACAGGCACAGTTGGGAAGAGAAGTAAAGTTCCTTCCGGTTTCGTTCCTCACCCCAACCGCTGCCACGTTTTGGAAGCTAGCAGAGCATGGGCAGAGTTCCTACTGGTGAAACATCAGGAAGAACAACCTTCAGAACACGGCCAAAGAGCCCGAAAAACCCACAGCAACCATTAGCAGAAGCTCTTGGGTTCCCTCCAGCATTTCGGACATTGAGAACCTGATGGATACGACACTTTGCCAATGAGAGGGTCTGTGAGCATTATGCGTTTTCTATTCTGAGGCACGTCTGGCATCAATAAAGAGGGGCACAATGGTGTGTGTGTGGTTCCACTGATATATGAGCGATGCTGCCATGCCAGCTCAGAAGGCCACGGCCACGATGAGAAGCAACAGATGGTTCTGGCTCTTTTAAGTGTCAGTGGTGGGAACCAGATGGGGGGGCTTTACCGCACTCCCAGCTGGTGGAGAGCCACAGCACACATGGTTAGCTCCTTCATGATTTTAACGAAGCCCTCCTTAATTTGCCCTGATCTTCTTGCTTGTGAAGATGTGGTGATTGGTGGGCAAGACATTTGCTCACTCCATTCTTCGGGGACCTCACCTGTTTCCCAAGAATTCTCAAATATTATAAGCAGAAGCTCTGAAATTAAACCTGCCAAGTCCTTGAATGCCATTCATTTAACCCAGGAGACTTGGCTTTCATTTAGAGCTGCTAGATGTTCCTGTTTCACCTCCTAGCATCAGCCCTCCTCCTCCCTCCCTCCTTTATTCTACCCGCACTGGGTTGAGCACCGTTTCCCTTCCCCTTATCGTATTATTATTGTCAGCCTGCCCTTCTCTCAGTATAACAAACCCCCGAGAGGAAACGGACACTTCCACCCGAAGTTCTCATTATTGCCTGAGAGTTTACTTAAGGTAAAGTCGTTAGGCACTCTCTGTGCTGTCAAGGCTGGTGGAGATGATTTTAGAGGATGGATCGGGAAAAGTAAACCCATGCAAGGTAATGTAGGTGTCAGAAGGAAGAAACACCCCCCCCCAAGAGATTAAAGCGGTATGAAATCTACTCCCTATTGCTGGAATGAATGACTACACAGAATCCAGTGTATTTTTAAAAATTATTTTCTACCTTTGTATCTTGCAAGATGGGAATTCTATGCTGGGTCTTTTGTGCTTTGTGTCTTTGGCACAACATCTGTTTAGCGACGGAGAGGAAAGGGCACCCTTTTACAAGGAACCCTGCCTTGTGCCCCCTCTACCATTTTTCCCATCTCCCCTGATGCTTTCCACGTTGCTGTTGGTTTGCACTAGGAGTCACTCTTGAGCTAGCGAGAGACGGGAAGACGGCGAAGCCAAGGACGGTCACTCTGCCCAGTTTTTGGCTGGGTATCCATACACCTCTGGGCTCAGGAGAGGCACTGCACAAACGGAAAAGCCAAACACCTTCAACCACACGTCCAGGTGTGGACAAAGTGAACGGAAAAGTTGCGCTCCTAAAAAACCCCCACACAGACGCACTTGGGTCAGGACGCCATTAAAACGTCCGCTTGGAAAACGTGCACCCAAATACACCTGGTTCCATTCTCTGTCCTTAAAAAAATCCACATAAAACTGTCATGGAACACATGGGGGGGAGCAGTCAGGAGAGAAGGAATTCCCTGGCAATGGATTTGACAGATCACCCCTTCCAGAAGGACACCCTTATGAGAAAATGTATCTATTTATTTACTTACAATATTTTTTCCCCGCCTTGCTCCTTGAAAAGGACCCAAGGAGGCTTACAACAATGAAAGACAATATTTAAAGTTGAAAACAATGATATTCAGCCTAAATCTGTCTTCCTGTCACTTGAGTCCATTATTAGGTCTCCTGCATTTGGGGATGACCAAGAACAGATCCTGCCCCTCCTCCGTAGGGCAGCCTTTCAAGTATTTGAGGAGTGCTCTCCGATCTCCCGCCCGTCTTCTTTCCTTTAGGCTAAACATGCCCCATTCATTCATTTTTTTTCTCATAAAGCTTGAGTTTCCAGTCCCCTGACCCTTCTTCTGGCCCCCCTCGGAACCTGTTCCGGTTTGTCTGCACCCTTCTTAAAAACAGAGTGTCCAGAAGCTGGAACTTGGTGTTCTTTGGTTCTTAAGATAACACGGAGTAACTTTTGACCAAGCGGCATAAAAGTCTAACAAGTGCAGAGTCTTTGCAAAAACCGCTAGAGTATTTGCTGCTAATAAACCTCCCCTTATGGCCAGCACCAACAAAGCCCTTTCGTTTTTAGCCGCTGGTGCTTAGCTGATTTTATGATGAATCTGGCAATTCTGAATATTTTTTGCAGCGTTCAGATGGTCCAAAAAGCAAAAGAACAAAACCCACAATGACTCAGCAGCCTGGGCTTTCATTACCAAAGCACAGCAAAGGGCTCTGTTCCCCTGACACCCTGCCTTCCATGAAAGAAAAGAAGAAGGAAGACTTTCTGAATGATTTATTGACAGGGGTCAGGAGGATCAAGGCATGTATCTGTCTCTCTGACAGCGCTTTTTTTTACTGATGAAAGCACCAGCAGCAAAGTTAAGGCGGCCGTCCTGAGAGCTGTGAAGAGGCTGCACAAGGTCCCCTGTAACTTCCCTGGGTGGCTCATTCTTCCCTGGGCTGTTTCATTCAACCATTCCTGCCTGCAAAAAGCAAAATCAAATCTCCTTGGAAATCAGTTATCTCGCCTTATAAAAAGACGTCCGGTGTGGTCCGGACACAGTTGAAAGGCTTCAGACACCATGTCCCGTAAATAAAATTGGGTCTTTGAACTTTGGGGGGGGGGGGACCCAGGCACCTTACTCTCTGTGTCATGATGGTGGGTGGCCAGAAGAGGGAGCTGTTGGGTTCCCCCCCCTGCTGTTCCACAGTGCCACCACTCCAG